TGTAAATTTTTGTTTAAAAATATTTACAAATGTAAAAGTTATAGCGAAAAATATAATTTTAAATTTCCACTTTAACACCCTGTATATTTTTTAATATCAACATTTTATTAAAGCAAGTTGGCTTATATCGTAATATTTTAAAGAGCAGAATCTACGGTTTCTGTTTGTACAATTACTTAAGGATCACTACCTTTTCGTTCGAGGAGACTAAATCTGATGAGTTGCAAGTCTAACTTATTCGATCAAATACATGATTTTTCTAATTTTTCATTGCTGAAACACTAATACGTTTGCATGGTCCTTTTTGCTAATAATCAACTAATCTTGCCCTACGAACAATTCGTGATTTAGTATTCGAGGTTCCGATGATGGTGATCCGAGGATCGAAAAGTTTTAGAGAACAATTTTGTAATCCATTTGAATATTGGAATACTGGAATATTGAATACATCTTGCTCCAACTGATTATGCAGGGAAAGAGTAGCATAGGGAGGCGTAGAATGTCATGGCTGTGCAACCTGAGAGAGTGGTACGGATGTACATCAAATGAACTTTTCAGAGCAGCCGTCTCAAAAGTCCGAATAGCTATGATGATTACCGACCTCCATCGCGGAGATGGCACTTGAAGAAGAAGTGAATGATGGCATATCAATTAACGGAACACTATTGAATAATCTCAGATATACAAACGATACAATACTTCTTGCGAACAGCAGATAATGGCTGCACATTTTGGTTGATCGCACTATGCAATATTGCGAGAGGTATGGAATGACTCTGAACACAAAAATAAAAAAAAAACAATGATTGTCAGTAAGAACAAGATTGAAGATACGATTGAACAATATGTTAAAGGAAAAGCTTTAGAGAAAGTGCCCAGATACAATTATTTGGGATGTGAGCTTGGGATCAATAAGATGAAAACAGTATTATACAATGGAAAACTGAGTATAATGAAATCACCGCAGAGATGTTGCAAAATGTTGGAAGATGGAAGACTTTCAACACCCTCTATTTTTCTGTTAAGAGATGACCGGTGATCATTTTGAGCATTTGCTTTAGACTGAACTATTGTGATTATTGTTAATAAACTTAAATTTGTTCTATTACACTTTTATTTTACAAAATAAAAATAAAAACGATCCGATGTTACTTTTTTGACAACAAACAACCAATAGATCAGTCAATCATGAAAGGTATTGGGCTCGATGGCTTTTTGATTGAATGACATAAAATAACTTCTTTCTTGAATATCCCTGTACAAAAATAAAAATATTTACATTGCTGAATATAGCATAGAAAACCCTTTATAATTGCTGTATCGCACTCTCCCCCTTTGCATTTAAAATTTTTTCAAGGGTAACTTCTACCCCCAGGGAGTTCATGATTCATTTGAATAATGTCATTGGGAAAGTGTATTTTCATATATAAAAATTGACCTGCTTCAGGATTTTCCATTTGTATTCATAATATTCTTCTTCTTCTACGGCACTACAGCCCAAAATGAGCCTTGGCCTCCTTTATTTTTTGCCTCCACCCTTGTCTGTCTGTGGCTGCTCTTCTCCATACACGGACTCCTAAAAGTGCTTGTGCGTCGCTGCTTACTGTGTCTTCCCAGCGCTTTCTTGGCTTTCCAACTGGTCTCTTTCCCTGCATTCTGGCGTTCAGTGCTCGTTTTGGTAGCCTATCCTCTCCCATTCGTATCACATGTCCGGCCCATTGCAATCTTTGTATTCTAATGAAGTTTGACAGGGGTGTTTCCTTATACAGTTGATAGAGCTCGTTGTTATATCGAATTCTGAAGATTCCGTTTTCCCTCACAGGTCCTAGTATTCTCCTCAGTACTTTTCTTTCGAATGTGTCGAGTTTGTTTTTGGATGTTTCTTTCAGGACCCATGCTTCGCTGCCATAACATGCTATTGGCCGAATTAAAGTTTTATATATTCTCATCTTTGTATTTCGGTGGACACTTTTAGACCGAAATATATGGGAGAGGGCAAAATAAGCTTTGTTTGCCTGCGTTATCCTTTTTCGTATTTCTCCATCCTCTGCTCCATCGGCATATATTTCTACTCCCAGGTATGTAAACTTTCCAACCGTTTCAATGTCATCTTCATGTATAATGTTTTGTGGGATTATATTTCTTCTCGTCTGTACCATTATTTTTGTTTTTTCTGTGTTAATTTCCAGACCTAGCCTTTTCGTTTGTGTTTTTAACTCTGCGTATGCTTCCTGTGCTCCTGTTGATGTTCTACTCATAATATTAATATCATCGGCGTAGGCAGCCAGTTGAACCGTTTTATTGGTCAGTAGGTTTTCTCGTCCAGTTTGCATTTGCCTGACCGCATACTCCAGTGCCAGGTTAAACAATGTTGGTGCCAGCCCATCTCCTGCTTTAGTCCCTGCGAGATTTTGAAAAAGTCTGTCCGGTTGTTTTGTATTCGTACACATGCCTGAGTTTCATCCATTGTGGCTTTAATGAGTCTAATTAGCTTATGTGGTATTGCTAATTCTGCCAATATATAGTATAGTCTGTCCCTTTTGACTGAATCGTATGCCTGTTTGAAGTCTACAAACACGTTGTGAACATCAATGTCGTGTTCCCACGATTTGCTCAAGACCTGCTTGACTGTAAATATTTGATCCATTGTCGATCTTCCCCGTCTGAAGCCCGTCTGATATTCTCCAATAATATTTTCTGCTAGTGGTTGGAGTCGCTGGTTTATAATATACGTGAGGACTTTATACGCTGTACATAGTAGAGAAATTCCACGGTAGTTTTTGCATTGGAGTTTGTCTCCTTTTTTATAGATTGGGCATATTATACTTTTCTTCCATTCGTCGGGTATTTTCTCTTCTTGCCATATTTCTTTGATAAGCGCGTGGATATGACTTGATAGGTGGTTGCCACCTACCTTATACAGTTCTGCTGGAATCTCGTCAACTCCCGGGGCTTTATTGTTTTTCTGGGCCTTAATAGCTTCGAGAACTTCCTCTATGGTTGGAGCTTCTACTTCAACTTCGTTCTCTTCTACATGGTTCGTACCCATTTCATCTTCCATATCTACTTGTGTTCCAAGTAGGGTCTGAAAATAATGCTTCCAGGTTTCTGTGACTTTCTGTTGGTCACTGATTATTTGCCCACTTTCATCTTTGCATAGGCTTGTTTGAGGTTTATATCCACTTTTTATCTTTTTTAGGTATTCGTAAGCTCCTCTAATTTCGTTTTTTTTTTGAAATTTTGTTCCATTTCTTCTATTTGTCCATTTTCATAAGCTCTCTTTTTGTTTCTGCATATCTTGTCTGCTTTCCGTCTTGCGACTTCAAATGATGTTCGTCTTTCCCGTGTTCTTCTTGTTATGTACATTTTGTGCGCTTCGTTTCTTTCTTCTATCGCTTGCCTGCACTCGTCATCAAACCATGTTCCTCTTCTCTTCTTTTTCTTGTTTCCCACGGTGGACGCTGCTGCTGTCAGCACTGCTGTTTTGATATTATTCCATTTGCTCTCTATGGAGTGCAGTTCTTGTGTCCTTAGCTCATTTGTGACTTCTTGCTCGAACTTCTCTCTACATTCCTGAGTCTTCAGTTTTTCCAGGTCTAGTTTGTTTGTTCTTTGTTGTCTTTCGTTTCTTTCTCTGTTAACTCTGCACCTAAATTTGGTTTGCAGTAAAAGATGGTCTGATCCACAGCATGCTCCTCGTCGTGTTCTCACATCAGAGATACTACTGGCTGCCCTTTTGTCTATCATCACATGGTCAATTTGATTGGTTGTGGTTCCATCTGGTGAGATCCACGTCATTTTGTGTATGTCTTTATGTGGGAAGCATGTGGAGCTTATAACCATGTTTTTACTGGTGGCAAAATTTATCAAAAACTCCCCATTCTCGCTTGTTTCATTGTGCAGTGAGTGTTTTCCTGTTGTGCCATAGAACTGTGGTTCCTTGCCTATTTTGGCATTCATATCACCCATTATAACCTTAATGTCATTTTTTGGCGCGTTGTCATATACTATCTCCAGCTGTTGGTAGAAGCTTTCCTTTGTATGTTGCTCTTGTTCATCTGTTGGGCAGTAGATGTTTATCATAGTAAGGTTGAAGAAGTGGGTGCGAATTCTTAGTTTGCATATCCTTTCATTCACTGCCTGGAAGTCTATGATTTTTGACTTAAAATCATTATCTACCACAAATGCAACTCCACATTCTTTGATTCCTTGTTCTTTGCCACTATATAGAATTGTGTGCGTTTTGGTGTCCCTGACACCTTTCCCCAGCCATCTTGTCTCCTGAAGAGCAGTGATCATAAGATTATATCTTTTTAGTTCTTGTAGAAGTGCAGTTTGAGCTCCTGGTCTATTTAGCGTCCTCACATTCCAACTTCCAAATGCATAGTCCATGTTTCGTAGCTTTTGTCGTTTCCGAAAGTTCCCCTTGTTCCGAGGCAAATGTTTAGGTTTCATAACAGTGTGTTTTTCCGGGATTTTTTTCCTCCTTTACCCGGGCTTAGGACCGGCAATGGTGACTCCTGAGCTATTCAATCCACCCATTAGTCACCACAGGCGGAGTTTTCATAATATTGTATAAAATGAATTTATCCGTTACTTTAGGACCTCACTTCTTCTTCTTAAAGTGCCGACTTCCTACTGAGGTTGGCAATCATAATGGCTATTTTTATTTTTGAACTTAATGCTCTAAACAAATCAATCGATCTGCATTCAAAGACATCAATTTGTATTGGTAGGGGGACAACTTGTCATGCAAAATTCATACCCTCAAATGTAAACCCCTACTGCCCCGCAGCAACCCCAGTTTTTTTTTAAATAGCAAATGTAGTCGAATGGCACATCATTTTAGTTTTTTTTGGGGGGGGGGTCAAATTTTCGTTGGAACACACTGTATTGACTACATATCCTAATTCTTATATCGACGACATACTTTTGACTTAATAGTTTAGTTAGGATAAGTAGATTTTTTCCATCATTACAAATTCGGCATTCTGTTTTAGACTAAGTGGTCATCCAGCAGTTCGGGCTAGAAACGTTTGTCTGAATTTGGCTGACGATCATGAAAATTTGACGAAATCAGGATTGGTTCAGTTGTTTACGCATCCTCACCCTCTTAAAGCCGTCGATTCACCGTATTTCGGAAAAACACCACCAAAGATATTTATCGGAAAGTTAGTTAAACCGAGTAAGTATATTATTTAAAACTGGGTTTGAATCGCATGTGAAATATGTTAGAACATTATTTAAGTCACAGATATTTTGCTAATCAACTATTTCTTCTCGTGCTTCTCCATGTTTTCGATGTGATTTCTTTAGTACAGGAAACTCGAAGTATTTTTTTTTTTATATATATTCAGTAATTTTTACAGAAAGTTTTTTCCAGAAAGAAGTTTTATTCCAATGCGATCCACTACAATGCATTAAGCATTCATCCTCTGGGTGTATAAAATAAATTTCCTTTAAAGACTTAGTCTAGAGTCTTGAAACTTGGTACATATTTAGAAGTTTATTTATAAAATGTTAAACAGTAATCATTAATACCAATTTAATAACTTAGTTTCTTTATAAGCTTTTATATTCATCATCATCAACTAGTCTATATTTGTCCACTTCTTAACGTAGATCTCCCATAAAATATTGCACCTATTTCTATCTTCAGCTTCTTACATCCAATTTGTGGTGATTCCTTTTATATCATCCGTCTATTTAGTCGGTGGTCGTCCTCTGTTTCGATATGCCTCTTTTTCTTAGTTGCCATTTCAGAATCTTTCTGGTCCATCTATCATCCGTCAATCTGGCAACATGTCCGGCCCAAGACCATTTATATTAAAATAAAATTAGTTATTTTACTTAACAGTTGCGCCACCTGTTAGAAGATCTATAAAGATTTATGTCTTCGTTCTTTCCGTTTCCAAATTCTTTCCATTTGATAAATATGCTGCAATAAATCTCAAATGCTGTTTACATTTAAATAGAATTCAAAAATTGAGCACTCGTTCATCATCTAGTACTTCTGTAACATCCACGCGTTGTTTTCTTTCTTCTAACTACCCTGATAATTGATTCTGTTATACATCATTCTTCTCCTCTCTAAGGAACTGCAATTAGCACAATAAATATAATGACGGTATTAGATTTTTATTTCGATGCAGGTCAACCGCAAGCAACTTATACGTATTTCAACCTCTGAGCAACAGCATATGTCGTTCTGATGAGACCTAAAGAGGTTGAAATACGTATATGTAAGTGGCTTGCCGTTGCCCTGCATCGAAATAGAAATAAAAATCTAATACCGTCATTATTTTTTAGTTCTTTACTCTGTTTGGAGTAACAAAAACTGAATTCACTACGAATTTTGACCGTGATGAACGGCATGTGGAATGCATATTGTTGATTCCCTTACCGACTAATTCATCAATCTGTCTGCTTTGTAAGTTTTAGAAAGCATAGTGGTAAAAATTTGAATTTAGTTTCGCCAAGTAGGAAATCTTAGGATTCCTAGTGTTATTAACAATAAATATCTTTGTCAACAAGTCAATTAAATGTCTCGTTGATCTGGAGTAGGTATTTGACAGGGTCGAATTAAAGGACGTTCTCCACTTATTGTAGGCAAGGAAGATACCTCTCGGAAAAATTTAAAACGATCGAATATATATACCAGAACAACACAGTAAACGGAAATAACCCAAGTCTTCTATTATTCAACCTGATCATGGATGAAATAAAAAAAAAAGTAAGAACTAAAAAAATGGATACCAAATGAGAGGAAAAAAAATAGCGTAGATGGTGCAATACTGAACTCTCAAAGTAAAAATGATTTAAAACGCTTCACCAATTTAATATAACCACCAGAAAATTTAATATGATTCTACCAAAAATGACAAAGTGCATGGTTTGAACAGCAAGAGCTGAAGAGACAAATAATAGAACAAGTAATGAAGTTAAAATGTCTGGACGGACAGCTCGAAACAGAAGTGGAAGATTGGGTTCATAGAGCAGACAGATCCACAGGATTCCTGAATGAAACAATATGGAGAAATAAAAATATTGGGATAGAAATGGAAGGTGTAATATACAAAAATGTCATCAGATCAATGATATACGTGGCAGAAATACGACCCGACACAGGGTAACAGAAACAATGCTAGAAACAGCAAAGATGAAAATCCTTGTATACGACGTTGAATGCTTTAAGTTTGTTGATGTATGTTTTTTTTCAAAGTCCACATTCCATGCCATAAAGCAAGATGGACCATATGTAGCACTTGACCATTCTGCAGCGTATTTCGAAATTTAGGTTTTGATTACATAGGAGCGGTCTGAATTTCACAAAAGCTTGTCTTGCCATTTTTATTCGGGTTTTTATGTCGTGTTGTGGATCCGATTGGTCATTGATTGTGGTGCCAAGGTATTTAAAAGTTTTCACGCGTTTTATACGATCGTCACCTATGCATATTATCAGGTTTTCTGGAGGGTTTCTGCTAATGACCATATATTTCGTTTTCAAAATGTTGATTTTGAGGCCATATTTTTTACCTATGCTATTCACCCTATCAAGTAATAACTGCTGATCTTCTAAATTATCAGTTATAATCACTGTGTCGTCCGCATAGCGTAGGTTGCTAATTGGTATGCCGTTCACCTTGCCTAATGCTTAATGGTGATGCCTAATTCCGTGTCTTCTAATGCTTCCGCAAATATATATTCAACATATAAATTAAAAAGCACCGGAGAGAGTATGCAGCCTTGGCGGACACCTTTCCGAATTTCAAATTCATCCGTATATCGGTCTTGATCAATCCTCACCTTTGCCATTTGGTTCCAGTATAGATTCTGAATAATTCTGATCTCCTTCTGGTCAATGTTGGCCCTATGTAGTAGTTCCATCATGATATTATGTTTAACATTGTCAAATGCCTTCTCGTAGTCGATGACTACGAGTCTGCTTAAGATAGTCTGCCTAAGTAACTGCTACTTAATTTTTATCTAATGCTGACACTATCGAACATCCATTAGACACCGACGATTCCTTACTATAGTAGAAGCGATAGTTAGAATGCAGTGAACATAAGATCAGCAATGTATTTCTTACAGAAGACCAGTCGACTACATTGACGGTTTGACCCGAGCGGCGCATCAGGACCGGATTTAAGAATCATAGCACTGCAATATACGTGCACACAACAATTGCCTTCGACTGTATAGAAGACTCTCATTATTGTTTCAATTATTATTATTATTGAGCTCTGGTAGGACTCTTTCCGTGTTATCGAGTCCTAGGTGACTTGATATGCTGGAGTATCTCCCAAAAATTTTCGTACACATCTGGAAGTTGAGAGTCGTACAGCTTTCTGCATGGTCTTGTACAGATGTTCATTCAGACCTAGCTTTTTTATGTTTTCTAGGAGGTTTTTTGGAATGACTTCAGTAGTAGAGAGAATAATAGGTATTGTCTGCGTCTGTATTTAACTTGAATTCTAGCAAGTGTTCTTTAAATTGCAAAATGTGCTCCCGAATGGCTATGATGAAGTTTGTGTAACACATTCATGTACAATTTTGGAAACACTACTTGTTAACCTGTACGTACTTCTTCAGGACTCTACCACTTGTGATATAATTAATGATATAATACGTATCACTTTTACCTCATTAGCTTTTTTTACTTTTAGAAGATTTTTTAGTAAATTCTGATCATTATCTTCTTTTTATATAGCTGTGGTCCTCTGGAGACTTACTTCTTCTGTTACATTCTTTTTTCTTCAAGCTGACTCTGACTATGAACCTGTTGTCTTAACGTTTCTATTTCGCTTTTACCAATTGCTATTTGCTCCCTCAGATGTGCAACTTTAGATTCCAGAGTATCTTTTTCACCTCTATCGTTATTTGTAAGAAATTGGCGACCTTCTGATCTTATTACTTGGTTCTTCTTTTTTGTCTGGGATTGGCATCTGCAATTATTTCGCAATTATCCTATTTTTCCTTAAATTAAACACTTTCTGTTTTCATTTCGAGTTTTTTGTTCAAGATTTTGCAGGACTTAAAATTTGGGATAAAATAGGTTGTTGGTTGTTTATCTGTGTTTGTTTATTTTCTCGAAACATTATTTCTTTTTAATTTTGGGCAGGACCTGGAAATGATTTACGCTGATTTATACTCCTTGGCTGACATCAGTGCTCCATTTAGCGTTTGATAGTGCTGTAGTCAATTAGCTTATTACATTTTAATATATTGTAGTCCACCTATAAATGCCTTTATACTAATTTATTCCAGAACAGCTTTAGGTCCCTCAGGGAATGCCAAATGCACTAATATTTAAATATCGGCTTTATATTCTTGTAGGCTTTTGTTATGCTTTTGATATTAAAGTTTCAGCTGACTTTTAAAAACCTGCTTTAATGTACTGCTCATAACCAGTCTCATAAAACTTAAATAAGAGAGATATAACTAGAAGCAATAAGAAAAATCGCACTTTTAAGAATAAAACTTTTAAGAATAAATACAACTGCAAGTATATGTTGTATATAATATATGTTGTATTGTATTTTACATATACGTCGTATTACAAATACGACGTATATGTAAAATGGAGAACATGTAAGAAGAATTACAACAAATAGACGACGAGAGACGGCTCTCCAACAGGAAGACGATCAGTGGGAACACACGAAAACGATGGAACGTCAACTTAATGGAGGCACATATAAATAAAACAAACATTGTTATGTCTACATACAAAGAATAAGACGAAGAAAATGTCAATGAGAGTATAGTATCGTATAAATATAGATTATGGTATTATAGAATTCTTAGTTCCAGTGTTACGGAAGAGAATAGATAAATATGTTTATTTTCATTTTGTTTTGTTTTGTTTATCTATTTTCATCAGTGACTTTATATCTGAAAACTGAAAGGTTAAACAAATGTTTTATTTTTATAAATTAAGTTATTATTCATATATTTAAGACTGCGAATATTTCATGTCATCGGCAAACACCTTTTTAATAAAAACAATTTTGAAAAATAGAAAAAATTTTTGGTACTAGTACCAAAAAAATCAGCCAGAATTATTTCTTTCTGTCCATCCCTCTTCTACCTTCAACCTTGCCTTCCACCATAACTTGTAGCAGACTGTACTTATCATTACGGAACATATGGCCCAGATATGACGCTTTTTTTCTTTTAACAGTTGTTAACAATTCTATCTCTTTACCCATTCATTTATTTATGAGGTGCCCAACACATACACAAATAAAGTGAAGGATGACGAAATGACTTTTAAACAGGAAAAAGGAAGGGATGGGTACTTTCCCTGTCTGTCAAATATTAAGGGACTAAATCAATTTAAAATGGATTGTTTATATGCTAATTATAAAGAGTCTGATTTGAAAGTTCTTTGTATGATTGAGACGTGGTCATCAGATGGCGAGGTGATTCATTAGTTTCCCAAATTTTACAATTGTAAATTCTTTTAGTAGATCCCAATATAAATGTGGTGACGTTTTACTATAATGTTCAATTGTATAAATAATTTAAAGAAATATAAAAACTATAAGTAACTTTCTAGACCAGTATGTGACGTCATCTTATAAAACTTTATTATTTTAATAGGATCCAGAGGGCGCAGCAATTCATCCATCCAGGAGCCTATTACCAGCGATGAAGAAAGATTTTCATATGAGCTCCCAAGCAGAATACTCTCACGTAGCCGTTCCTCATTGTATGAAGAACCTCCTAGATCTACCAGAAGTTCCAGTACACAACGGTGTGAAATTAATAATGCTAATAGAGTATCGGAACAGGCTCAAGGAGCCATTTCTGACGTAATTTATTTACCAAAGGATTATAAACCAGAATTCTTGTTGGATTCTCTTGAAAAGAGGGACCATTTTTTTTCTAAAACGTTCTGTCGCAATTATACTGATAACATTCCAAATGTTAAACCAGATGCTCAATATGCGCTCGTTCAAAACGCTTTTACCAATATGATTTTTAGTGAAAATTTGGATGACAGAAGTAGACAGAGATCTCCGAAACTTTTACAACCATACCAAAAACTCAACCAAAGTGATTGTATCGTTACCTGCAATTATATAGATATTATTTCCTCTAGACGAATTAAGGAACTAAAAGTATTAGGCTGTCTTATTTTAGAAGTATTTATGGCTAAACAGTTGCGTCCAGTGGGTTCTATAGGTTCCAACATTAATTTAGATAATCGCCTAGCGTACTGTCTGTCGATATTTAGTAGATGTGATATACCCCCTTGTATTTCGTACATTGTCAATTTGCTGTTACAACCTGAAAAAGAAGAATACTCAGCTGTAACTGATATGGGGCTACCTCCGCCCAGTGCGTCTCTACTTTTAGAACCGCTCATGCATTGCACAGTTCCATTCTCCAAGCATTTTCCATACCTATACGAACTTCTCCGAAACCTTAAAGAATTTAAAAGCGTCGCTATAGAACTCAATATCTTGTACCATTTCGACTGCGACGGTCATATGTGTTCTGAATATGAAAATATAGAGAAAACCAAAATACTTTTTGCTCAAAATATAGCAGAATGTAAAGTAAAGATGTGCGCCAAACAACTAGATCTACTATTAGATGAAATAGATACCAACACTGATAATGAAATTGTTAATATTATATTACCACATATAAAAGAACTTATCGAAGATCCCCCTACGTCTGTTTTGGCTGCTTGGTATCTCTTTGAACCTATCTCAAGAGTTTTAGGCCCACAAAAAACATCAAAATATCTGTTGGAACCGATTTTAAAGCTATACGAAAACGAATGTGTCGATACACATTTACCATATATAAAGAAGATTGCTAAACTATATCACCACAGTTTCTTGTTGTGTTTGATGGTAAGATTGGGATTAAAAACATTCTTAGAAAATTTTGTGGTTCCATTAGTAGAAGCAGTGGGAGGTTATAAAGATTATGATCTAGTGGAGTTTGTTCTACACAACCACATTGAAAAGATCGTTAAAAGAGGTTCTCACTTAAAAACCATAGAGTCCGAGCAGATGGATATCAGCGGGAGCGATGATTCTGGTTCTAATGATAAACATAGCAAAGGATTGACAGAAAGTTTTATAGTTAATGAAGAAATATTTGAAATCGAAGAGGAGAAGAATGACGAGGATCAGATGAAATTTCTAATGGAACATCTTCAGTTGAATGTTTCGTCAGAATTACCGTTTAATCATTCATCTGCCGAAGAAGCCGTAGAGAGTACGGAAGATAACGTGAATTTAGTACTTCACCTTGAGGATGAAATAAATGATTCTCCAGAAGGTAAGTGTTTTTTTGAGCGTTTTGATAAATTTATGCGAAACATACTTATAAGTGTCCTAAATACACTACTGCCCAAAATTAACGCACCACCTTAAATGAAGCTATTTTTCTTCTTGACGGATGATGGATTTCGATGATTTTTTTTTATATTATTGGTCCATTTCTAGTAAATCATTGTATTATTGTTCTCTAAAAAATATCAACGTTTTACCCGCGTACGGGGTGTAAAAATAAAGTGGTTATTGATCATATTTTGCAACACCCTGTGGAATTTATTAGAAGGAAACGATACACCTTATTAATATTTTAAGATAGATTTATCCTTTCTCAATATTTTCGTAAAAAAAAATATCTTGATATATCTATTATCAAAGATTATACAGAACTTTAATTGAAACAAGGTTTTATTATCATTTAAAGCAAAGAAAACATTACTTACATTAACTTTATTGACATTTAATACAAGTAAAGCCTAAGAAAACATAACTTAAAAGTGTTGCAAAATTATATGAAAAACACAACTTATTTTTTATACCTCGTATATAGGTAAAACGTAGACAATTCTCGAAAAATATTATGGTAATTAATTAGAAATATACCTACAATGTGAAAAAAATTCATCGAAATCCAATTAGGGGTTCAGAAGAAATATCGTTTCAAAATCATGCTCCTTTTAGGTGGTGCGTTAATTTTGGAGTGTAGTATATATACACGAGGCAACGAAGCACTAAACCTGACAATTTTCCGCAGCAAGATGAATCGCCTTTCAGCTTTTTACATTCGATTCGGGAAAGGAAAGTATCAGGAAAGTTTGTAAACAAAAGTCATGGTGGTAAAATGAATTTACACAGTGCATAGAAACGAAATGTTAATCTCGAAGACTCCTAGTAATGACTGCCGACTGATTTAGAATGAAATTAATATAAAACTCCAAGAGACGAGGTCTTCCCTGGGCACCAGATACCTTGTAGACGATCGTCGTCGTAATATTCGTGTTCAGCAACTCCAAAACCCTCTAAATATTGACTTTTGACCGATTTCGAATGAAAATGACATAAAACTCCAGGAGAAGAGGTCCACCCTGGGCGCCAAATAGCTCGAAAACTACCGCCGTCGTAATATTCGTGTTCAGCGACCTCGAAAAATCCCGATTAATAACTTTCAACTTATTTCGAACGAAAATAAAATAAAAATCCAGGAGACGAAGTCTATTCTAGGTACCAGGTGCCTCTAGGACCTTCATCGTCATCATATTCGTGTTTAGCGACCTCGAAAACCCTCCGAGTAGTGACTGTCGACTGAATTGGAAGGAAATTAAGATACTCCAGGAGACCAGGTCCACCCTGCGCACCAAGTAGTTTGAGAACCATCGTCGTTATCATATTCGTATTAGACCACGAAAACCCCCGAGTTGAAAATTTTTCATTTTCTATGGACTTTGGACATGCATTTTTCTTATGCAGAAAATGCAATTTTCAATTAACCATCAAGAATTTTGTTCACAAACTTACCTGACACTTTTCCGAATCGAATGCAAACAATTGCATAGCGATTCATCTTGCTGCGAAAAATTCTTAGGTTTAGTGCTTTTTAGTGTTTCATTGCCTCGACTAATAGTCAGGAAGATTCAATTGGAATTAAATCCAAGGAAGTTTGTTTCTTCCTCCCTTTCAGAATATTGCGGAAATGTGTTAGGCAAGTTGCATTAAACAACACCGATGGGTGATTTTTATACACAAACTCTGCAACTTTCTCCCACATTCCCAGGATCTCCTTTACCTATATTTCTTGTAGAGACAACGTCTTCCAGCTCTGACTCCTCTTCAAAACTAATTTTTCGTTGAACCACCGTATGCTGCTGCGAATGTAGTTCGTCTAACTCCCAGTTGTCAGCTCCTGAGACTGTTCATCCACAAGTTTGTTCACCTCCCTTTCATCCACCTCCAAACCCATGGATTTTCTAAGGGAAACAATCTCATCTTTCACTGACACTTCGGGTTATAGTCCTTCGCAGACCCTTTCTGCTCAATAATTCTTAGGCATATTTCTATGTTAAAGTGGTCCTTTCAGAACTCTTGAAGGGTAAGGTTTCTGTTTTCCGTCACCTTAAAGCAGCGCAGAAAAATGTGCTTGATATTTAACTTCTTAAAATTAGAAATCACTTGCAGATCAAGATAAGGTGTTGGCTGGTAGGTAGAGAATATTTATAAACTTGAACCCTTGGAGTAAATTATCTTCGAGATTTGGTGGATGAGAAGGGGCATTATCGAGGGCAAAAAGGATTTGAATGGGTAGATTGTTTTGCTGTAGATATTTTTTAACAGAAGGGGCAAACACCAGGTTTATCCAGTCCACAAAGAATTTCCTGAGAGCAAATCCAACCTACGGCTTTGGATTTGCTCTCCACATAACTGGCAGGTTTTCTTTTAAAATTTTATGTGACTTAAAGGCTCTGGGATTTTCTGAATGGTACACTAGAAGAGGTTTGATTTTACATAGATTTGTGACCCGCCATCGTCTCCTCTGCCGTTATGTAAGTCCTATTCGGCATCTTTTTTCAGAAAAGCCCTGTCTGGTCACAGTTCAACCAGCCCCGACTGGCTTTAAACGAATCTTCCGATTCATAATTCGTGTAAATGTATGGAATCTGCTTCAGGAAATCTTCGTAAATCTCTCGTGCCTTCTCACATATGATGCTTTGTGTTAAGATTCCTCCTTGAAGCTGTTTCTCTGTCATCCACAACATTAGTGGTTTTTCATCTTGTCATGGAGAGAAATCCGGAGTTTAGAAATTATTGTAACGCCCTTAGCTGACATTATACCATTTATCACCACCTTCCGTTTAAGCACATTGATGTGGTAGGCCCCTACATCCTCGCCAAGTCAGTTACTCGTACACCTTGCTCATGTTTTTCAATGATTTCACGTTTTAATTCAATAGACATCATCTTCTTCTTCGAACTCATGGTTGTAAAAATAAATGTAATATTATAATGTACAAAAAGCACAAAATGCGAACCCAACTTATCAACAATACTTCGAAAATGAGGGAAACAAGCAAAACAGACAGACTGAGGTCTAAAGTAAAAATTTACACTGTGTAAATTACACCGACATCGAGAGTGCAATATGGTTTTAGTATTATAATCCGAATTTTTGTCGGATTTAACTTCCAATGACCATTTAATTTGTCGGTCCAAGTAATAGCCACGTACAGTCCCGTAAAATGATCTTTATGGCGAGGCCTTAAAGATGTATTACCAATAAAACTACCTTTTCTTTACAAGGCAAATTAGAAGTAGTCAAATAAGAGGTATGAATTTGAATAAAATCCGATTTTTTCGTATCTCAAAGCTGAAAAAACGAACACAATATACTTTAAGACGCACTTTTCTTACTTTTGTGCTCATATAGTAACACTTCTGACATTTGAAGTTTCGTTTTTTACTGATATTTTTAACGTCCGGCACTATTCTTGTGTTGTTTTGAAGCTAGTTTCTTTTGGTCTTTTAATTGTCATCATCGTTAACAACCTATATGCGTCCATTGCTGGGCAGAGGTCTCTCTCAGCTCTTTCCATCTGCCGCTGTGCGGCTTGTATCCAGTTACTGCTAACACGCTTCGGGTCGTCAGTCCATCGGGTTGGTGGGTGTTCTCTGCTCCGTAATGCTTCTTGTCTTGGTCTTCACCCGACAATACCTTTTGTCCATCTGTTTTTTGATTATCTGGCGACGTGTCCTGCTTAATTCCATTTTAGCGACGCGATTTTTTCGATGGGGTGTGTTGTTTTTATTCTACGACATATTTTTTCGTTCGAGATTCGGTCTCTCAGAGAGACAACCAACATTTGGCGCTCCATAGTCCTTTTAGTTATAATTAACAGATAATAAGAAATTATTGTAATAATGTTTCGTCTTCATGTTGGAAGCCGTTTAGAAAAATTATAGAAGAGTGTATATAAACATATTAGAACTATCTTTTTACATATTATTAAATGAATATATTACTTTTGTTTTCAGCTTTAAAATCTCCCACAATTCCAATACCTCAAAGTCAGCACAATCATGTCAACAATATTACTTGTGAAGTAGGTAGTAAAAAAAGCGAAAATGAGTTCACGGAACAGTCAGTGACACCCAATTTCCAGAAATTCGAATCTCAGAAAAATAAAAGTAGTACGAAAATATCAGATATGAGCGCAGATAGTTTGGTATGGCTTTCTCATCGATTGGGACCATTGCTGACTGCGAAGTATCTATCCAGAAATCTGTTGAAGATGCTTGCGCTTTGCTACATTGGTAAAGACAACATATCCCCCTTTGTACCTGAAAATGTTTGTAACTTTAAGGATATTTCTATAACTTCTCATTATGTTAAGGGTGATCAGCCGACTGTTAAAGTTCTTGAATGTTTAACCAATATTTCAGGTAAGAGTTTTCATTTGTTTTTTGCTTTTTTTTTGGAAGGTATGTCTGAACATTATCAAAGTAATTTTTAATTTTGAGTGTAGATTATATTTGCAGTAGGTACTTACCAATCTAGTCTTAAAAAAATAGTAATTATAAAAAAGTAAATAAATTAATAAATAAGTTGAATTTATATTTCTCGGAATAATATTAAAAAAAATTTTCATATTAGTTGTCGTTCTATGAAATTCCAGTCTTTGTAAACAATATATAAACAATATATAGTGCATTAAGCTTAACGAAATATTCTTACTTAGCAATAAAGGAACCCAACCTATAGGCACAGTATCTGAAAGATTTTTCCACTGCTTGAAAGCAGTGAATTTAGACATTGTATGAGGATGACAAAGCTGGAGAAATATATTCAAGTATAGACCTGAAATAGTCGCAGTGAAAAGTTTTAACTCAGTTTACAGAACGACGTTTAGATATTCTTAAGATAAAACCAAGAGTGTGACGGGTATTATTCTCTCTTTCTCTCTCTTTCTCTCTCTCTCTCTCTCTCTCTCTCTCTCTCTCTCTCTCTCTCTCTCTTTGTTGTCTTGAAGTTGTAATGTTTTCAAAAAATATTGCAACGTCGTAATAATTATTAATTTAAATTAAACCTTTTCATTTAATTCTTATAAATCGAATTACGACGCCATGAAAAGCGAAATAAGTCAAAATTTAGAGAAATAAACAATATCGCTGATACAGTATATCAATCAGCCTACATCAATTATGATGTAGCAGCCTACATCAATTATGATGTAGGCTGTGATATATATATTTAGAGACCTAAACAAACATGGGCCATTATTGATGGCGGAATCTTAGAATAAAACACCAACATAAAGTTTCTCAAAAACATGTGGTACCTTTCGAGCTACATGTTAAGAGTAAACTGGTTCTTCCCGCAAGGCACTGGAAAGATCAAAGATAAGGACTTAGTAAGGAAATTTATGTCTCTCATACACCTCTCTTCTATCACTAGTTATTACATATACATCTCACCACTTCCACATGTTCACTGGGAGCATTTTCATATTCAGTTTCCACCACACCTACTTATTGAGGAAGAAAGTAAAAAGAATAATGCAAATATCAAATCATTACAGAAAAAAAACCATCATAAAAAAATAAACTATAAAAAAATCATAAAAAAATAAACTTCACAAAATGTATTTATTCATTACTATAAAAATGGATATATACTGTCATCAAAAATCTATTATCTACATAAATTGCGTTCCTCGGTAAAATCATAATAAAACGATTAATCGAAAAGTAAATTTATTATTACTTAAAACTTCCAAATTAAGAGGTAAAGACTACAATTTTCCAACCGGAAAAAGCTTTTTGGGTTCGTAGATTACACATTACAAACTAATGGTAATATTCTCAAACATAAATTATAATTCATACTCATAATATCCTCAAAATGAAATATGAAACTTCTTAATATTAAAAATAAATGAGAATTAATTCATAAAATGAATAAGATAAATATTATAAATATTCTCGAAAAAAAAATGTTACGTCATGATAACATTAGTAAATAATCAATAAAGTCAGTGGGTGAATTGGAGTCATTTAATTCAGTTTTCGCCACACAAACTATATTTATTTAAAATACTAATTACTTTACGTCTCCTGCCATCGCGACATTCGGGGTGTAGATGCATTCTACACCTTTTCCATAAATAAATAGTATTACTTTTGCACGTCCTACATTCTTACACTATCGTCTCTTTTTGTAATGTGGCCAATACTGTCGAATCTGGTTTCATCTCGTAAAGCAAATTTAGGTTGACGTCCATGTACTAAGTCTGACACTGATGTAGCGGTTTCTTCACTATTATAAATTATAAATATAAATCGATGTCGGTTGATCTCGAAATAGAGAAGGATGTGCAATGACGAGATCGTATGTTAAAATTCTATATTGTTTCGGCTAAAGGAAAAAAATAAGTATTTTGCAAAGATTTCTGTTTTTTGTTGAAGTACTGTATTAGGTACTCTATAAACAATAAAATTTTACTCTTGTCTGGTAGACAACTATAATATACCTGTTAAAAGACGTGATAATTTAATGATTATATCGGTTTCAGATTTAATTTTTACATACTTAAGTGTTTAAATAAATAATTAAATTTTTTTTTGGTACACCTCTGCAAAATTGAGAAGTGGAATATGATTTTGTTGGAAAAGTTATCGTTAAGGGCTTCGTTAGGTGCAATGTTGCCAAGTAATCACCTTCAATTAAAAATTGTTTTAATATAGTAGAAGTATTATTATAATCATTTTCATGTTTTTAGGACTCTATGGAGAACAAATAATAATATTTCAATACATTCCATATATGACTGAGTTAGTTCTATTATGTAAAAAACGAATTACTGTGAATTTGGAAGGAGGATTAATATCATGTGTGACTTTGCTAAAAAATATTATTCCTTATATCACTGACAGTATGTTGATGAATCAACTGCAAGTAAGTACATATATGTTACCGTAACATTTGAGATCTTTTGTGATGCTAAAGAAAGGTTCTCGGCCTTTGAATATTCCTCTAGAGCTTTGCTCTGCCAGTAAGTGCTAGAGTGGAACAGAAATGCTCATATTTACACCATACGGTTGGGTATACTCTAATGGAAACCATCGGTTAGTCCGATGTTGGGACTTAGTTACTCTATTACATAAATGTTGAGATTGCTCTATAATCTTCTTCTTGGTTCAGACAAGACGCCTTAGTTTCTAGTACTTGATCATAAAACCTTTGTACCATACCTTATTTTTTCCATTAAACTCTAATAAGTCCCGCAGTCTCAACGAAGATTAACAGTTTGCTCATTGGTAATTTTCGGATCTCTTCTAGTTTAGTAATCAGTTGGCCAATGAATTCCTGCCTCATGTCTCATATCATGGTTAATTCCATTATGATACCAATTCTCTATGTAATAAAGGGCACATTGTATCTGATCCGCAACAGTTGTCCGTCCGGGTCGCGGAAATAAGAATACACCCGGGGCGATTTCCCCTCTCTGTCGTAAGAGGCGACTATTGGGAAGGAATGAAGAGGTGGAGAGCCGTCGTTTGAGGTGTCGGGTTTGTAAAAACGCACGCAGGGCGATTCGGCGTTATGGTCACCGGTTTACACTCCTAGTATCCGAGACGAGCCTCTTGTGGGACCACTCTACTCTCATTCCGCAGAACCAGGTGAGGTTGAACATGCTGCGTCCCTGACAGACCCTTTCCCCATTAAGGGCGTGGGGTTATGGCGCGTACCCACCTGGGAGATTTAAGAGTGGTAGAGGAGAGCTCTTCAGTGGCGACCTGTCAAAGTGTGAAGTCGAGCCCTTACCTGCGTCCACCCCTATGTAACCACGCCACCCTCAAATGGTGTCGGACTCGTAGGGGTAGTGGTTCCGCTAACGGTCGTATCCCGAAAGGCCAGGTAGACCAGGGTCCAGCCAATGCTCTTACATTGGAGGGTACACGAATTTCTCAATGATTCGCAACAGTACTGGGGAATTTTCCCCTAGTCATTATTACAACATCGTCTGCGACACTCTGGACTCAGATTTCTTGGCTGCTAAGCCAATGAATGAGGTCATCAACGACTATATTCCATAGTGTTTACCTCTTGAAGGCACCTCTTAGTTACCCCAAAGTTTATGGTACAGTCATACGTATCTGTGGATATTATTCTGCTCTGAAGTATCTGAATAATCCATTTGCATGTTTTACTGTTCATATTCTTCCTCATCAGTGCACTATGTATTGACTCGATATTATCAAATGCGCCTTCGAGGTGTAAAAATGCAGCAACGGCGACTTCTTTCTGGTGTAAACTTCCTTCGAGTTCCGACACCAAATTGTACAGGGCAGCTTCACCTGATTTCCCTGCTTGATACCCCCATTGCCACTGGTGTAGTGGGTTTTTATTAAGATTATTTTTCTTAATGTATTCATTCACGATTTTTCCATGGTTTTTAACATGAATGAAGTCAAACTTATTGGCCTGTATGATTTTGCTAAGGTGTAATCTGTTTTTCCTCGTTTATAAATAAACTTCTTCTTCGAGCTTTGGGAATGTACTATAGAACATGGCTAGATTTCCAGTCCCTCTTGGAGTAGCCTGGAAAATATTCCACTTGATCCCGCAGTTTTGTATGGTTCAAAAGTTTAAATAGCACATCTGACCTTGGCTGAACCAAAGATTACATTAGAGGTCAGCCAGTCAATTCTGGTTAGGCTGAAGTTGGTTTGTTGATTATTTTCACTAGTTAAGTGTTTTGACCCTGTGAAATGAAGACATAAAAGATTCTCAGTTTTCGTATACTCCCCATTAATCAATTTAACTAACTTAACTGACTTGGGTTTATTGGTGATATCTCTTTTAAGAATTCTGTTAATGCTGGCACTGTCAGGTATACTTCCAATGTTTTCACATAATTCTTTCCAGTATCTTTCCTTAGAGAATATAAATATCTTATAGGTTTTCACTTTAACCTTATAAGCTTCTCAATCATCTGATTTCTTCTCAATCCCTATTAAAGGAACCGTCTTGTTCTGAGATCAGACAGTTCCTGATTCCAGTGTTTTCTAATATTTATAATAGTAAAAACTGCATACAAATATAAGAAGAAGTTTATGTTAAGTCGTAAATAGAACCTGGTTTAAATCTGAAAACTGCTTTAACAAATCTGACTACGGTTGTAGTGTTTTACATCGAACGTTATTTAATAAATCATCACAACTTTTACACTCGTATGGTGAGTCTACTATACAGTTTTTCGAATTACTAAACTCGATAGTTCGTGGCCATAATATTTTTCAATGTTCCTATGTAATATAATAGTTTTTCATTAATTCAGGCAACGATGACTATATAATTCTTCCGTATTTGTATTTTTAGGACGTAATATTGAAAAGCATAATCAATCCTATCATAAGATTACTTAATTCCACAAATCACGTGTTTCCTAGTGGGAGTACGGCAAGAAATACTTTGGCTAGAAAGTATTTAGACGTCATTTATATACTGGCGATAAGAATAGGGGTCGATATGACAAAGAAATACTTGTTAGTACCTTCATTACAGAGATTCTTTCTAATATTTGATAAGGTATTTACCAATTCTAGCGAAGAAGGCAAGGTAAGTTATTTTGTTTGTTATTTATAAAATAAATAAGAATATTAATTTATCTTAGTATTTAAAATTAGTGTTCCCTCGTTGTTTTGTATAAAACTAGTCGTCGCTGGTTAAATGAATTAGAATAATCACGAAGAAAAAAATGCAATATTTTGATTGTGAATAAATTTGCAATTAATTTAAATATTACGAAAATTAGCTGGCTTAACTCCTTGCTGTTATCTGTACAAAGAAAAGACTTACCTTTGAAATATGGTGTATTAATAATTATTGCAGCCAGTAGAGTAGAGTTGTATCTGTATGTCGCGGTGCCGGCCGTGGCCAAAAAAGGGACGTTCCGATAAACTCAAGATGACTACTGTACGCTGTCTCGATAGAAAGTGTCTTGAGATGGTCAGAAAACCCTCCGACAGTCCTTAGGTGGTCCATGAGGCAAGTACACCCCCATAAATTAGGGCTTTTGTATGGCGTTAATATTTTACAGCGTTTTCTGTACTTACGAGGAAGTTCCCAAAATAGCAAAGTCCTAAAATGTCCCAGCTTATGTACTTTAGTGAGAGGGGTAAGGGAAGTAATAGATTATTTTCGAATAATTGATGTCTATGTTTTATTAGATAATGCCCAACATAAAAATGCTAAAACATACCTAACGAAATTGTTAAAAATCATCACGCAGTTTCACGTCGATTAATTGATATTGTAATTTTTTAAGTTGTCAAAAATGATCATTTAGGGGACACGATGAATCGAAGCATTCGTTAAATCAAGGAAATTATAGAGAACTAATAAAAATGTTTAAGAAATACGATTTAGAATTTTTTAATTTACTTTTTGATTCGAAGATATTTAGCGGCGTATGTAAAACAATCCAGTATTAATTAATAGAATTAATTACATTTTAAATAACGTTATTGAATCTGAGATTCAGGAAACCATTTCCTTTTCGCAAGAAGTAGGTAGATGAAACTACCGATATATCATGTTATTTACAATTATCAATTGTTGTTCGATACGCGTTACGTGGTAATATTTATGAGACGTTTTTAGGTTTTACAGACGTGAGTAAAAGCCAAAAGGCAGAATATATTTTTGGTGTTTAAAAGGACAGATTAAAATTTTTTGATATCAAAAATAAATTGGTAGGGCAAACTTATGACGGCGCTGCCGTGATGTCTGGTGAATTGAATGCTCGCCTAAACGGACTAATGTTTTAGAACAGTTTGTTTGGAAAAAAAAAATGCCAACAGTTTATCAGACGCAATGAAATTTTAAATCTGTTAGTGTTCACTGTAGTAGATTTTCGTGAACAGCTTTTGGTTTTGATTTTAATATTGAAGGCGACGATTTTGAAAGTGATGATATCTCGATCCGTGAAGCATTCGGTTTGAAATCTTTATTAAATGATTACTCTTTTGATATTCTTTTAAATTTTTTAAGAAAGTGTTTACCCAAACCGATTCGATATTCAATGTTGTTTCAAATCAGTCAACTGACATTATTTATTCCAAAAATAGAATATCAAAATTAGTGCAAAATCCCACGAGATATTTGTAATAATAGTAATTTTCAGTATATAGGTACGCAGTGAGGTTTGGGATTCGCTTGATATTTCCGAATCAACCAAAAAAAGACAAAGTCATGACACAGACACAGATCTCGACAAACTAGTATATTTTGAAATTTTGGATACTATTATTATGCAAATAAATACACGTTTTTCGAATTTTGAAGATTTGCAAATTTTTGACCTCTTTGACGATTCAAAATTTAAAAGTTACGCCAAAGAATTTCCAAGATATTTATTAGACAGGTTAATCAAAAATTATCCATCATTCTTTAATAAAATAAAATTAGAAAATCAATTAAAAGTTTTATATGCTGATCCAAATATTTTCGGAAGGTGGGATAAGTTACAAGATATGTATAATTTTATATACTGCAATTCATTACAACAAACTGTTACCAAAATTAATAAATTATTGTCGTTAATTATCTCCTTACCACGAACTTCTACCTCAAATGAACAGGATTTCTCTTGCCTCAGAAGAATCAAAACGTATTGTCGAAACACCATGAAACAAGAGAAAATGTCAATCTTGTCTCAAATGTCAATAGAAAAAAAAACTTTTAAAATCTCTCAAAAACTCTAATAAATTTTACGATGACGTTATAACCCATTTTGCTACTTCCAAACAACATAAACTAGAGTTAATATATAAACATGTTTAGGTTCTAAATTTATAGGAAAAAGAAACAAAAAATCCTTTATGATGATTGAATCCTTTTTTTAGACGGTATAGCCCTATCTGAAGAGACAAAAAAAATCTTGCCGACCTTGTCTCTAAAGCCACGAACCGCCACTGCTCAGTAGTGTCCTAAAATTTGTGTTCCTTTTCTTCTAAAACTACCAGCTAGCTCTGTAGTATGTTTGCATTTAAAGTTCTTTTTCTTTTCAGTGTTCTACGTTGTTCCAGATATTGGAGTAGTTATAAAATTTTGCTGTTGTGTTTACATCTAAACATGTTTCATATAATTATAGCAATTAGGAATTTTTAAAATAGATTTTAGAAATATATTTCTAAAATTACCAATTACTTGGTAGGTATATATTTAGAAAAAAACTAAATATATACCTTTTGCAATATACAAAAATTCCCTTCTTCTTCTTTAAGTGCCATCTCCGCGACGAAGGTTGGCAATCATCATGGCTATTCTGGCCTTCGAGGCAGCTGCTCTGAACAATTTCCTTGAGCTGCAACCAAACCACTCTACTCTCTCAGGTTCTTCAACCAGGAAACGCGTCTTCTTCTTACGCTTCCCCTACCCTCTATTTTTCCTTGAATTATGAGTCTCAATATGTTGAATCTTTCGGCTCTCATTACATGTACAAGATATTGCAATTTTCTTTCTTTTATTGTATTTTCCATTTCCCTATCTATGACTATTCTACTTAACACTTCTGCATTCGTGACTCTACTTACCCAGGGAATCCTTAACAATCTTCTAAATGTCTACATTTCAAACGCGTTAAGTCGATTTATTGTATTCCGGTTTAATGTCCATGATTCAGCTCCATAGTAGAGTCCACTGTGTACATAGTATTTAATTAGCCTTTTTCTGAGGGCCAATGTCAGATCTTTGCTGCATAAAATCTTTTTCATTTTCACGAAGTTGGCACGTGCTTTTTCAATTCTGACTCTAATATCTGCAGTATAATCTTTATTTTCTGTGATTATCGTTTACAAGAAAGTATATCTTATGTATGTTTAGAGAGAGTCCTTATTCTCCTCTATATCTTAATATTTTGTTCATTATTCTTTCTAAGTCTTCCAAGTTGTCGGCTATTATGACTGTATCGTCGGCATACCTAATGTTGTTAATTAATCTCCAGCTTAGCGTGTATTCTATTATGGATGATTTTTAGCAGACTTTTTAAGGTGTGTGACATTAGACTGATCGTTCGATAATCACTACATTCTTTGGCATTTACTTTCTTTGGTAGACAAATAGATGTTGATGTCAGCATTTCACGTGGAATGATTCCTGTGGAATAGATTGTGTTCAGTAGTTGGACTAAAAGATCTATGTTTTTTTCATTGATCAGTTTTCGCAATTCACTTGGTAATTCATCTGGACCAGCAGCTTTATTATTTTTCATGGACTTTTGTAACATTTAAGTGTTACAAATGTTCAATTGTTCACAAATTGTAATTAATTGTTACAAATGTTAAATTTAATATTATTACAAATTCTCTACCAACTTTTAATTCATTAAAAATAAATAAAAAACAACAAATATTTAAAGCAGAGTACATAACATATTTAGGAGTTTTAATTGACAGGCACCTTAAATGGGACTTACAAATAAAAAATATAAGAAAGATAGGAGGACTGCTACGCTATTTAAAAGAGTTTTGGATGTTCAACAGCTTAAAATGCTTTACCTATCTCTAGTACAATCTCATCTTGTATATGGGATTTTAGGATGGGGTTGAGTAGCTGATTGCGATCTAGTGACCCTTCAAAATACTCAGAAATGGTTTGTTAAACTAATATAATGGAAAACGAAAAACATATTCCTCAGACTAACTTTTTCATGAAACTGAGGTTCTTGATGTTCGACAATTGTACTGCTTAGAGCTACTTAAAAATATTCATAAAGATAAAAATCCTCTAAAAGTAAAAGTGTCAAATTATGAAACAAGAATAAAATTTAATGTCGAATGTCTTCACACTTTAAAAACAACGATCAATTAAATATTTTGCTCCAAGAATATACAATCAATTGCCCATAAATTATAAAAATATCAAAAATTTTTATTTGTATAAAAAATTAGCTACTGCTTGGGTAAAAGAAAAAAAGGGAGTTGTGTAACAATTTATAAATTTAAATTATACTAGATAAAAAAAATAAAGAAATTAGATTAGAAACTGTACAAATAAAATAATGATTTGTAAAAAAAAACAATAAACATAAACCTGTCAATAGTAGACAGATTAAGTCAACAAGCATGCTTATGCTTTTAAAACTTGTTTTTACGTTTATTTTATTGTAAGTAAACTGAAATTGTAAATTAATGTAATAACTATTGATTTGAATAAATATATATTATTACTTGTAGGTATCTTCTACAGTGGCAGATCAAGAATCAGTCGTAGAAGACACAAATATCGAAGATGACACTAAAAATAAATTACAAACGAATACGTTAGAATCTCACGAGAATATGCAACTTCCTGAAGAAAGTGTGGAAAACAAAGCTTTAATCGAACTACAAGAAGTATTTACTAGAGAATTGGCTCATACGGCCTACCTTCCGTTCGTCCGATTGTTGGGTTTGAGTTGTTTACAGACGGCTCTAAATAATTACGATAAAATCTGCAAACTTTGTCAGGAATACGAAGAAGAAACTAAAGATTCCAATACTAAACCAGTTTCGGCTTTAAAATTGTCAGATTTCAGTCCTAGTACGCCAGTGTCAAGCTCGTCTAGTATTGGTACTAATATAGGTAAGTTGTTTCTTAATTTAGATATAATCTTTAAAGTACCTATAGAGTTTCTGATTTACTACAGATGCTCTAAACAAAGTTGAGTTACTAAATAGCCGTTCAAGTCAGGTCGAACATTTCTCTCCGTATATCTATTTCTTTTAGGTATTTTTTTCAAGATTGTTTCTCGATTTTTCATATCAAATCACTATTATTTTTTATTAATCTTGTTAATTATATATTTTCTTGCAATCGTTGATTCTTATACGGTCCCACTTGATTTATTTACCTTTTTTGTGACTTTAGCACTTAGCGAGATACGTGTTGAAAAATAAATAAATGAAAAATTACTATTATTAATATTCTAATATAATTAATAGGTATTAAAATAGAAAAAGTGTACATCCATACTAATAATTGCTAGTGCAAAGAGTCGAAAAACCTCATAAAAATCCCTATATACTCCAGTCGTCACAGACGAAAATGCCACTGAACCTCTAAAAATCATACCAACGAGCTGAATTTTGCCGAAAATATTAATTTTCGGACCGCAAAAAAGTTTACCACTTTTAGCGCCTGGCTTCCCCGTAAAACCCGCCTCGCAGGGGGTAAAAACGTAAAAAAATAGATTTATCAAGAATCTGTACACCGTAGAAAAAATGTTTCAAATAAAAAAATGCAGCTGAGATAATTTTAAACAACAATGTTCACAAGCATTTTTTGTGTAAAATAAACCGTTTTCTTAGAAACAACGCTTGAAGCGACCGTCGATTTTGCGTGTCAGTTACGCGCGCGAAATCAATGTTAAATAAAATCAGCTCGACGGTAACAATTCGATATCTTTTGATTCAAGTGACCTATCGACAAAAATCAAGCTGCACTTTAAAAGTAAAGAGTTCAGCTTTCGGTAAAGTTTTTGTATTTTGCCGCTAATAAACTCAAATTAATATTCTCTGCAAAATCTCAATTTTTAGGGGTCAACTCTCTGACGACTGGACTAATTAAATCAAACAAAAAAAGCAAATAATAGCAAGTTAAAACAATAATCAAGAAAATTAAGATATTAAGAGAAATAGGAAAATAAAGTAAATAACAATTGGGTTAAAACAAAGGTTAACGACATTAGCTAAGATTGACTAAAGACACAAGTTTGATTTATGTATAATTTTAATCAGACAATCATACACTCTTTAACCATTAGTAGCCAATAGGTTATTTGCTTGGTACGGAGGAAATATTTGCAGAGTTTGCAAGTTGTTTAAAAGAGTTCCTGAATGCTGAAAATATTTGGAATACATAAAAAATATATGGTTAAGATCCCCCTTGTTCTAAGAACAAATCTCAGCATTGTTAAGGTTATTATATATTTACGGACAGTATTAAAGTGTGTTGAGTTGTTGTCAAGATATTCTTTTTTACACTAAATTTAATGTACTATTTTGTAATTGGCACTATTGGAACAATCAACCTGACACTCAAATATAGCTACATTGACTTGTCCCCTTTCATCCACAATTAAAGCGTAGTTTTCATAACTCTTATTTGGCTTAATCACGTTTTCACCAAAAATTGACTTGTCCCCTTTGTCACGCCCAACAACAAACTATTTTAAAATAATTCATTGTACAATACACACATCGATAACCTTAATTTATTTTTGATTAATTTTTTTTTTGGTTTATGCCTAGTAATTTATTTCTTTTTTTGCTTCTAGCTGTAATTGGAAATAGAATCGAAATACAGTCAGAAAACGTGGATTGTATAAATATGGATTTATTAAGTTTAGTTAGTAATAGAATAGAATACTCAAACAGACATTTGCGAGGCAACTGGCTAGCTTACTGGGAACACGAAATAGGTAAATGATATTTTAGCAAATATGATAGCTATTACCAAAACTTATATATTCATGTTTATCTTTAGGTCGATCTGAAAAAGACATTCAGTTGAATTTTAAGCAAATCAAGCTCCAGACTTTCGTCGGTCATACGCAAAGTGTGAAATGTTTGCACGTTCTTGATAATGAAAATAGTTTCATGTCTGGGAGTCGAGATAAGACAGTTAAGTTATGGTCGTTGCGTAGTCAAGGTGATGGCTTCAGTACCTCCAACTGCCAGTGGACGTACAGTGCCCATAAGAAGTCAATTTTGTCGATAACGTTTTTAGAAAGTTTAAGGTAAGGAAACAAAGTGTTCAAAAAAATAAAAAATTATAAAAATATAGAACTCTAATGTATTAAAAATCTTTTTTTTATAGTAAGAACTCGAAAGTGTAGTAATTTAATTTCATTATTATTTTTAATATATATTAGTATATATATATATATATATATATATATATATATATATATATATATTATTATTTATATAACATTACTAAGGGATGATTCCTAGTGGTCGTCTGTATACCATAATAAAAAATATATAAACTTGTTTATAAAAATTAATTGTTTAATTTAACTGGTTTCTCCCTTTTCTATTCTTTTAGCTACAACTTTTGGTGTACACACTGTCATTTTAAATTACTTCAACTTCATTATTTTACAATTCTTTTATTTATACGTACATTTTTTACGTACATACAATACCCCAAATTACTTTAATAGTCCTTTCTTACACTTTAGGAGTTTATTTGTCATATAACAAACCAATTTCCAAGTTGCTGTCGAACAGTGTAATATTCACAAAAAAAATTATATATTTCTGGGTACTGTTTAAAAAATAACAAAAAAAAACGACATATATTTGAATTATATAGTATGGGTTTATATTTCAGGCTAGTCGCATCTTGTGATAGTATTGTTCATATTTGGGATCCATTTATGGGCGCCAACGTAGGCAGTTTAGAATCTCCAAAATTTGCTCCTGTGAATACTCTGAAGAGCATGCCAGCGCCATCTACCTTAGTATTTGCTGCTACTACAGATGGCACAATCAAAATTCTCGATACTAGAATACTGAATTACATGCAAGAACTAAAGGTATGTAGAGACGGCTTTTTTTTATCGGTTCTATATGAATTTATGTCTACACGAATTATAGTTTTTGTCTATTTTTAAAATTTTCCAATTTTTGCATTTTTCTGTAAAAATAATTTCATGATTTATATGGGTTTTTAAGGTTATTTGTTTTGTATCGAAAAAATACCGAAAATACTCATATATAAATATAAAAACCCATTTATGGTCAAGACTGCGTCAATGCAACCTTTTTGTTAATTTTTTTTGGTCTGAGTAAAATTTTTGTTGGCGTAGAGACATAAGTCTCCCTTAATTTCTTCTATTCTTATGTTTTCTTGCTATATTCATAGTCTTCCTTGTCTTCTACTGTTTTGCAAATACTCCTCTACTCCATACAAACTTATAGCCGGACTGATAGACAATATGTTTAATGATAGATTGTTGCACGTCGTCATGGGATTCAATATCAGATTCCCAAGGAAACTACAGAATGGGCTACTACAGTTCTTCAGTTCTTGTCTCACTTCTCTTTAACTTTACATTTCAGACATGCCAGAAACAAGATCAAGAAAATTTGGCTATATAGACGACTGGTAGCTGGAAATAAGGTGTCACTCTATCGAAGAGCCAAAGGAAATATTGACGGAAGACTTGGAAACAATAGGAGAGTATTTTTGCAAATGAAAACTTTAGCTCAACATACAATTTGAAACCACCCGACTCACTCTCAATAAAATACAAAATAGCTGGACGTGACTCTTGATAGAACGTCATTCTTTGGAGAACATCTAACAAAAAGTGCAGAAAAAAAAAGAAACGTTATTCAAGAACTATGCGGCACGCCCCGATGAGCTTCGTATGAGTTGGCAGTAAGTGAGTGTGCTAAAAATAATTAGATGCTGTCCCTATTGTAAGTAATAATCAAACTTATATCTACTTATACTGAAGAATTATACAAAAGCCAGTTAACAGAAGAAGACAAAACACAAATTAAAGAACGCAGAGTAATGAACCAAGGATCCGAACTTCTGCCTACCATAACGATAGAAGAAGTGAAACGAACTCTAAAGGAAATGAAAAACAACAAGGCTCCGGGAGATGACCAAATAGTAATAGAAGCTGTTAAAGTAGGAGGCAAGAAACTGCTGGAAGTAGTAACTGAACTATTCAACCTATGTCTAAACCAAGGTATTGTCCCTACAAAATGGAACAATGCAATTACTATCCTAATACACAAAAAAGGAGATATATCAGACCTAGAGACTTATAGACCGATAAGTCTGTTGTCACATCTCTACAAATGGTTTACCAAGATCATCACAAAACGTTTAGAACGAAAATTAAATTTCTGTCAGTCTAAGGAGCAAGCTGGGTTTAGGAAAGGTTATGGAACAAATGACTACCTACAAGCCCTTAAAATACTAATTGAAAAATGTGTTGAATATAATAAACCACTCACGTTGATTTTCATAGACTTCAAGAAAGCTTTTGATACTGTGGAATTACCGGCAGTATTAGGAGCATTAGAACAAAGCCGAGTAGACTATAGATATACAAATTTGATAAAACATATATACAACAACGCAACAGCATCTGTTAAACTCCATGACTTTACCGATAAATATAGAATTGAGCGAGGAATTAGACAGGGCAACAGCATCTCCCCCCAACTATTCACTGCAGCTCTGGAATATGCCTTTAAAAAACTAGATTGGGCTAAAAGGAGAATAAATATTGATGGTGAATACTTAAGCCACTGGCGCTTTGCAGATGATATTGTCATTATAGCCGAGAGTTTAAATGAAGCTCACAAAATGATGGAAGAACTAAAATAGGCAATAGAACAAATACGCCTGAACATAAACTTTGAAAAAACTAAATACATGACCAATTTAGTTCCAAGTGATGTTATGAGGGTAGATGGGAACGAAGTACATCAGGGCTTTAGCTATATCTATTTAGGGCATGAAATTAGAATAGGAAAAGACAATCAAACTTGTGAGATCCAGCGTCGCATAGGCTTGGGATGGGCAGTTTACAACCAATGCATACTGCCAGTAATAACATATGGTTCCGAAACAATAACTTTAACCAAACATTCTGCAAATAAATTGAGAGTAACCCAAAGAAAAATGGAAAGAGCAATGTTGGGAATAACTAGAAGAGATATGGTACCAAATAGGATAGTGAGAGAGAGGACTAAAGTGACAGATGTCATAGAAAAAATTGTACAAGCCAAATGGAGATGGGCTGGACATATAGCACGTTTAAATGATAATAGGCGGACCAAAAGACTCATAGAATGGAGACCTAGAGAAGACAAAAGACACCGAGGCAGACCACCAAAAAGATGGATGGACGACTTGAGAAAAACAGTCGGAAATTGGATACATAAGGCGCAAGATAGAGAACAGTGGAAGAACATGGAGGAGACCTATATCCAACAGTGGATGCAAGAGGTTGAGGAATGATGATGATGATGATCTACTTATTCAACCTCTTAATTGTTCTAAGTCGCGGTGTTGCCATCACGTATCGCGAGTGCACAGAAAACGATTTGCCGATGCAACAACAGTTTGAATATCACATAAACCTTTACTGTTCTTATCTATAATATTTTCTACAGTGCTATAGTATTCCTTTTCATAAAGATACATTTTGACTATTAATTAAGACTTTTACCAATTTAATGTTTACCCCTATCCCTTGTCAAGGGAACAACCTATCAGGTGCTGGATTCCCCAGCTGGTCCTTCGGAGCTAAGGAGTACCTCAGAAGCTTTGTGCGGTAAGAAAAAATCTTCCATCGAACCAGCAAAGTTCGTTACGGTGAACTCCTTATTCGTACAGTATATTGTAAATAAAATACTATGCATAACTTGGGCAACTCTTTCCAGCCTGGCGTCTGCAGCTTACCGGGGTGCTAATTGTTTCTGTAAGCAATCTTGACGCTCGGCTGTATATGTATGTATGTAATATAGCTATAATTTTACAACTAAAAGAGCTTTGTGGAACCGACCATAAACACAATATTTATTTTAGATAAGTAATAATCCCACAAGCTTAATACGATGCTTAGCTGTAGCTCCATCTGGTAACTGGGTAGCCGCTGGACAATCTTCAGGAAATATCACCATTTTAGATACGAGAACTGGTTTCATCATTGCCAACTGGCGAGCTCACGAAAGCGAAGTCTTACAGCTACAAGTTTATGATAAAGAGACTTTGGTGTCGAGTAGCCTGGATCAAACTACAAGTGTATGGAATGTACTAGATGGGCGGTTGAAATTTCATATGAGGTGAGTAAAATATTGGTAAAGTCTGAAGTTGTCTTTGCAACACAAAGGTATAACCTCACTAATATGATACTACAAAGCCTGTTATAATTTTAATATTTTGTCTTGTTTTTATGTTTGTGCCGTCCAAAAAAAAACATTATTTAATTAAATTAATTTATACATCTTGACACAACAGCTGGAGGCAAAAAAACACTCGCAGAAATGCGAGTGAATGTATTCCTTAAGAGGGAAGGTGATTCTCAAAAGTAACTTAGTTTATAGAGCTTTCCTGTATCTGACATCTTTTAGTTTTTAATATACATAAAAATAACGTACTGGGGCCTGATGATGGGGCAAATATTGTAAGCCTTGAAACTGGTAGCCCAAAATTCACCAACTTTATTAATTAACAGCTGTATAAGATTGCGACTATTAACTGACTTCCCATATACTAGTAGTATGGGCTAACATTGACAACCTTTTCATCATTTCAATTAGAAATAGTTTATAACCATATTGGTCTTATTTTTTTTACCAACTGTTCTAGGGGAACTACGGAGCCAGTACATTGCCTAAGCATCCACAATAACGAGTTGATTTCCGGGACCACCGGAAATCGTATCGGAGTGCACACTTCAATCACTTTTGAAGCGTCGTTTTCAAACAATAAACTAAGAGGTGACTCGTTCAGAGGACTTCTCACCTCCATGGACTACTTGCCTCTGAATCGATTACTTCTCTTAGGAGCTGATACGGGAAATATTAATTTATTGTGTTGAAAATTAGGAAATGGGTTATTTATATTTAAAGAATATAGGTATGTTAATAAGAGTATTTTAAATAAATAATTTTTAAATTTTATAAGATTTTTTCTTCACATTCTCAACATTTTAATATGCCTTATTAATTTCCTGTTTAATAAAAACCAGGGTGAAACTTTGACAGTGCAAAGTTTCACATCAAAAAGTCAAATCAGAGTTGCACAATAAAATTAGGATGTCAAACGAAAGTGTAAAAATTGTAATATTGTGCCATCATCAAGTACCTGTATTTGAAGGGGTTAAAAGGTAAGCAGAATTGCAAAGATATGCTTAATACCCTTGACGATAAATATCCTTCATATACTTCTGTGAAAAATTGGAATGCAAGCTTCAAAGGAGGTAGATTTTCCATTGAAGAAGACCGTTCGGGAAGGCCAGCGTATGTGTCCACTTCGTAAATATCGATGCAGTTCAAGACATGGTTTCACCAAACCTTCGAATTGAACTAAATCTAATATATGGGGCACTGAATATTTCGTATGAACTAGTCATGTGAAACACTGTGGTATGACACTTTTGTGTTGATACTTTACGGTGCGTCATGTGCATTGACACCGCGACAGTAAAGTGTTATGACACAGTAACACTCGGGAACACCCCGAGCAATGAAATTCACTGCAATAGTGCGATTTGATAGTGCTCCTTTGTTTGTGTCCTTTGTTCTCAAAAAGGTTTTATTTGTGAAAAGATCAACTCTCGGTCACTTTCGCACAACTATTAAGTAAATGCAAAACAGATGTTACAGCTTCCTGATCTGTTTTTACAATATATCCTTATTTCGATGGTTTAGGAAAATATTGTCGTTTTGTAAGGATATAACCAGTCTCTTTATTTAGATTTTTTAGAAGCTTGAGATATTACAAAAGTTTGTAAAAATAAATTTAAATATAAGTACCTATTTACTAAATAATGTTAAAGTGTTTAATAATCACAGATGAGAATATATTTGACATTTTCATTAGATGTATAAGGTGTATCTAATTTTAATAAATTTTTATGCACAAATATCATTCAGCCTCAGATATTGTGGAATATAGTACTTAGGTATTCCATTTAACAGATATCCAACATAAAGGATTACGAATATAAACAGGTTAACACAATAAAACAACGGATTAATTTTTGAAATTCTAATGGCTTATACACTCAGGTGCAAAAAAATCGATCCATGGGTATTATTTGCTGAAAAAAGAAAACGTTTGAAGATATTCGTTTTAAATCAGGTATATATCGACGGTGTCACGACAAAAAGGCATAACCGCCATTGACAGTTTTTTTCAGGAGACACAAAAAACCTTTAATATCGCTTAACATTTATTTTTTTTACATTTTTTTGGTATTTTATTAATATTGAACTCAGGCATTTTGACTTTCCATATGTTAGTTATAAAACAATTATTATAAACATGAGATATTTAACATTTTGGTGCTTACGCCTTTAATGTTAGGTTCTGTGGTGTTTAAGCCTCTTTGAAAGGCGGTTACCATATTTGGAAAAAAATATTTTTATCAAAAAATGTCGCTTAGGAACTTATACGCCTTTTAATTTTACGGAATTATAATAAAAATGGAGAATAAATCTTTTCATTTTAAAGCATAACAATTAAGTAAAAATAATACAAAATAAACAATATAATAACAAGAAAATAAACTGAAAGAGTATTCAAAAAACAACAAAAATTATTAAAACGTACCATTTTTTATGTGGAACCTTTATCCTTTCTAGGTACACGAATACCAATGTTATAATCTTTTTTGAAGTACTTTTTAAAAGTAGATATTTTAAAGGGGATGCCACTATTTTCATTTATTTTTATGGTGTACATTTTATAAAGATTTGAAATGCTTTTAGTATCTGCTGGTAGATACAATTTTTTAATCAACCCTTGATAGTAGTGCGAGGGGACAGCAGGAAGACTCTCAATAAAATCTTTAAATATTAACATTTGTTCTGGAGTAATTTTATGTTTAGGTTCATGTTTCCCCCTATTCTCACGGTTAACTTTAATTTTTCCTTTAATAGCATACCGTACCAATTTTTGGCTAAAATTTAGAGTATTTTTAAAGAATTGTAAGCAAACCCGTTTTTGTATATCATTTTTCAAAAGAAAGTATTGATAAGTTAGATTAGTACGTGAATCAGAAACTGTTTTTTTCTCTTTACAGGTATGACATTAACGCAACCACTAATGAATTTTTTCTTATCTAAATTATTACCTAGGTTCCACAATTTAAAAAAAATTCTTTTCCGCAAATCGCCAGGAAATTTTGACATTCCTGTCAAAATTTCTTGAAGAAAAAGTCAGGACTTCCTTACTGTAAGGAAATGTCATTTCCTTACTGTAAGGAAATGATATTTCCGTACAGTTGTTAGTGTTCTACATAAAGTTTGACAATTCAACCTCAATACGTTTCCATAGTAACCCAAGTAATTTTATTAGGAATTTCAAAGCACCATTTATTTGGGAATAAAATTATCGCGTTTTTTTTTTAAATCAATCAATATCTGTCGAATTTTAAACGATTTGCGGAAAAAATAGTATGTTTACCTCGTAGGAAAAGCCACATTCCTGGACTCTGTGTTGCTAAGTCGAGGCGCAAGCCTCGACTTAGCAATCTTCACAGTCGTTCAGGAATGTTAAGCTTTTCCTACCCGGTAAACAATGTACTATTTCTGTCTTCAGTGCTAAAGCTATTACATTGATTGACACATTTTTTGCCTAAACATGGATTAGGAAGCAAAACTTTTTCAGCAACGCGTTCGTTTTTATAATTATAGGTAATGGATTTTAACAAGAGCTATGACCTTGTAAATAATAGGTAAACTTGTGTACTAAATCGGCATGACTAATAGCTCTTGTCAAAATCCATTACTTCTATAGTAACTTTTCCCCAAGTTACGAAACTTTCAATGACTTAATAAATTACTTTTCTTTTTTTTCTCTTTTGTCCTCTACCTTCAGGTTGAGTGCTTTGAGATGAACTACCTGATGTTTTACTAGAAATTGAACCAGTTGATGAGCTAGAACTAATGCTGTCAATTTCAGTCTCATTTTTAAAAAATACTGTCAAGGATGATGAATCTGATTCGGAGTTTAAAGAATCATTATGTTGTATACAATCATTACAAAGTATCTTATCATCAACTAATGAACTAAATACTATTGCGGCATTATTATTACTATCATCAGTATCATCACTATCTGAGTAAGGTACAAGCTTTTTATCACAGGTTAATAAATCAGTCGTTTCTTCGGCAGTCTCATCAATATTCGAAAATAAACGGCTGTCAATATTCAAATTTGGATTTAGAGGAAAACTGAAATCCACAATGGCATCATTATCTAGAACAGAACTAGACATTTGGAGTTCTTTTTCATGGTCTTTTAGTATAGACTCTAAAAGAACATCATGTTTTACCGCTTCATTGAGGACCCCATTTTCAGTGGAAAATGACCAATGGTTTTTATTATTTCCGCTGGATTCCTGCACATTTCTTTTTACTACTTTTTGATACTTTACAAAAAAATAAGACTATACAACAGAGTAAATATATATTGAAATGATTTCAATAGGTCAAAGAGGATATAACTTAAAGGGATTTTTATATGAGTTTGTTGTTCATGAATTTCATGAAGCCATCACAATGTGGGGTCGACTCTGAAATAAAAGGGAGAAAAGATTAGTAAATTGCTAAATAAATTAATTTTGACTTACCTGGTATAGTGTTAATAATTTCTGAATAGTATAGTTGCCTAGTGTATAGGTGAATCGTCTAAACCTTAAAAGGAATAAAAAAGAAGAATTCTTAAAAAATTATTTAAACATAGAAATTTCAAAAATAAACGTCAGAAAAATAAACTGTCAAAAGTCTGTGGGAACTAAATTAATAGGGGTTTTGTTAAATAAATTACAATGATGTGGAGATGAAAAGAATAAATTATATTAGTATTGTTAAGTTTTATATCTGAATTTTTTTTTTATAAATTCCCAAATTAGATGTGATTAAAGTGCTTATGAGAAATTAATGTGGTTTGACAAATATGTCAAAACAGGACAGTTTTATGGTTGAATAAAATAGAAGACGGAATGAAAAAAGAAAGTGGGTTGCTGTTAGCAACGAATAATAATGGTGGTGGGTGCTAGCTATGGCGGTTAACAAGGAAGAATAGGTTGTTGGAGGCGACGAAAATTTTGGAGGAAGAGCCCTAAAAAGGTGGAATAGTCCGGGAGTGCTTTAAAATCGTTTAATTATAATTTAGTTTTTCCACATTTTCAAATAGAGATATCCAGAATTTGTTCCAGAGAGTAAGAGAAATTTTGACTTATAAATTATAATTGGAGTGCAGAAATGTCATTTAGATTGAAAAAGTAAAAATTCATGAATTAACTAATTGCGATAGGCCTTAAAAATTGAAATATTAATGATCATTAAAATAAAAATATAATAGTACGTACCTTTAACTTCCGAAGAGAGGATAGATATTCCAGTATCACCGATTATTTTGCGAGTAGTTAGTTTTCTTTAAAAAAAAAAAAAATCAGAACTGTTTGAAAGTGAGTTTGGATAATAATTTTGGGGATCATTTGAAATTTTGATTATATTTTAATGCTAGTTATAAGTCAGCGGCATAAAGTGTTCAGTTTTCTTTTCTTTATATTTCATTTAAACACTTTATAAAGTTGCAATAGTCATTTAGATTTAAGGTAATTGTAGAGAGTTTCCACATTTTGTAATCAAATTCTATTTTCACGACACATTAAGGTTTACACGATTCCTATTTTTGTAAATTTTTAAAGGCAACCCAAGTTGCAGACGAATTTTATTGTTTATATTAAATTTGTTCAATATTAATAAATAACGTGCTTCATTTGGGTTAATTTATCAAAAATATAAAGTAAATTTTGGTTTAATTTCTTTTTGAACTCTACCAGGAGACTACAGAGTTGACGTCACACAGTGACAGATTGCTTAGAACAAATAATTGAGCTAGCCGAGGTATAGTATATTAACAACGAACTACATACTTTTAAAA